CACTGGGCATCTACGTCATTGGTCTATCGTAACTCAAATAAGAAAGCACATTCTTTTCAGTTCTACTGTTGTGGTTTGTTGGTTGTTCTTTGTTTTATGGGTCCCTTGTTAAACTGCTTCTGCTGTGTCAAAATATACAAAACGTTTCAACGTTATTTGCCTTTGTTTCTATAAGACTCTGATTTTGCTATTTAAATTACCGGTAGGTGGTTTGTTGGGGTTTTATTCATTTATTTAAATTATTAAATTCATTCCAAAAATGTTTTTATATTACAACACATTACAATAGATTATATTCAAATAAATTGTTCTTTTCTTCAAAGAATCCTTAAATAAATCTCATATTTGCTTTTGTGAACACTATCGGATAGGTTTAGGGTTGGGTTTGGTGTGGGTGGTATGCTTTTCATACATATTATGTATAAACACAGATTCACGCATCACGTTCCTCTGTTTCAGATAAAACTAAAAACACTTTTAGCTTTGAAAGTGTTGCAGGATGTTCAATTTGATTTATAGCACATTTACAACTAGGCTGACCTGAGTGCTTTACAGAACAGCAAGATTAAAAGAAGATATTACATGTATAACAAAAAATAAGAGCAACATGGCTAAGTATGTGCAAAACATAACTTTTGCATAAATGTCGCCATAGGGATCTTTTCCCAATGAGCTGGGTTAAACACTGAAGTGGAATGGCTGCTGAAAATTCATTTTTTTTAACATTATTCTAAATTGTTGTAATATTTTACTGTTTTTTTTTTTTTTAACAAATTGACCCTATAGACCATTTCACAAGATGTAAACAACACTGGTCCAGGAGCACTTCCTGTTTCAGTTTTTAACTGTTTTCTTTATTTCACATGTAAAGAAAACATATTAAAGATGTTTATTTAACTTTTTGATTCAGTTTTATATGTTCTGTTGGTTGTATTTTATCCCAGCTTTTATGTATTGTTAAAACACTGAAACAGGAAGTGCTTCTGGACCAGTGTTGTTTACATCTTGTGAAATGGTCTATACTTTTGAATGGTAGTATACCTTTGCCATCTATTTACAAAAATTCTTATGTAATTCTTATGTCTCATGTATCCACACCGGCGCGGTGCTGACAGCTGCACACTCTTCTCAAACATTAGGTTCATCCACGCTGTGCCGTGTTGAAGTACAACTCGCGTAAAGTTGATAATTCCGTGAATAACTGCAATTGCAGATTTCGAACAGAGATGGCGACAAAGGGGACAAATTGGACTGCAGCTTTAAAGTTAATCCCTAAAATCACTCATTCTTTAAAGTTGAACTCTGCCGATTTTCAACCCTCTTTGTATTGTTACAATGTCGGTATTATGTAAATGAACAATGTTTACTTATTCTCCGTGTTATCTGAACCTATATTCACGTTTGTTTGTCAATGTAAGAAAACGACTTTTGACAGCCTCTTGGCTTCCGTGAAAAACACAATTAAATCGCCTTTTTTGTATTCCCGCCCACGGACCGTCTGATCGACAGAGGGTTGTTAACAGAACAGATATTATACGAGTAGGTCAACCAAAAATGTATTCCACATTGTCTATTTTTTAAACAACATAGTAAAAATGGAATACTATGGCAACTGCTTTCTTACCTGTACGCGACGGGATTTTGCTTCAGAGGTTTGGGTGGAACTGAAAGAACCTCAATTTGGCCTAAAACAGTCTTCGTGGTCATCCAGTTTGAAATGATATCTTCAAACACTAAGGTTTTCTGATTTTCATCACCATTTTATCCATGTTTATGATTCTTTGCAGCATTTAGCCTGTGCCTACAGTACATTGGAAGTAATTCAGTCCCGCTAAACGTTTACTATTTGAACAATATTCAACACTATTATGACTAAAAGTTTGCTACGTAGTATTTCCTACTATAGCAAAGTAGTATTTGACTTTGGTTAGCCTATCCATAGCAGACTGGTCGGACAGCAACATGCCCTTTGCATTATGGGTGTTGAATTTTTCCTGCCTTTTAAGCAAAACCTGCCTTTTTTTCTCTGTTTTCTCTAATCAGTTAGCCCCAATTAACCCCACAGCAGTGAAGTACCCATTTACTATAACACATTCAATGAATTATTTAGCAAATAATCATAATAACGGTCCATTTTTAAAACTGTACAGTGTTGCAATGCCTAAATTCACTTAATCAGCATTGTTTTTAGTTTACATTTTTTTAAGCTTGATTTTGAATTTTAGTGTTTTTATTATGTATGTATTTATTAAAATGGTCTAAAATTATAATATTGACCATTTATTAGTTATCGACCAGAATATGCAGGGAATTATTGGTTTATCATGATTGCCATGGCCAAAATTTAACATTGTGCATCCCTGATTGAACATTCACACATTTAATACTCTATGGATTTTGCTTTACAAAGTTTGCTTTTCATGGTGAATGTGGGAGATATACTTGTTCTGTATATTTGAAGTCCAAGGCACTCTCAGAGCTCACTAAAACCGTGTGGGCTCTTTTGGCCTGCTGAGAAGACAGGTGGTTCTTCACGGAACAACATCTTCAGACCAGGGATCTCGAAACATAATTTCATTAAAGCAGTTTTCATGGTCTGCACGGCAATTATCCGAATCCTCTGTTTCTTGGCCATGAATTAAAAAAGAATGAGGAGGAAGAAAACAGACCCCCCCCCCCCAAAGCTCTACATTTGCAAGCATGATCTCTAATTTTGTTATCTTTAGGATATTACAGTTTGTGCATTTAGATAAGAAACTGGTGCAGTTTAATTGTGCATGTTTGAAGACGTGTTAGGCAAATTCTCAGTGTTTTTAACTAAGTAAGGCAAGCGGATTTCCATTCATTTAATGGCATACAGTGGGAAATCCTACACTGAAGAATGTTTCTGCAATCAGTCAAGCTCCTGGGTCGCCAGCGCAGCCACATGCCTTTCGAAATAACTGTATCCCATCATCATTTTTATTCAACTGCATTTGATAGTGAAGATAGAAACATGCTTGTTCATTTCCGTTGTATATATTTCATATGTGCCTGCTTTATATTCCATTTTCTGTTAAAGTATTCAGGAGGTATGAAGTCATGCAGTCACATTGACGATAGAGCGTGAAGGGCGATGTTGCATCAAGAGAGTATAAGTGCATACCTAGGCTTTTAAGCTTGCCTCTCTTTATGACAGTCCTGTGGATGTGATGAAAGGACGAGGCTTGTTTGAAGTCGGACTTCTTGTATAATTTGCCCAAACTGATTTTCTATAGCCTCGCTAGTGCAGAGTTTTGAAGTCCTACGACCAGAGCAATATTGAAGGAACTGGATGTCGTTTGGTGTGTTTGCTATGTCGATGAGGCTGACATGCCCTGTCGATTATTTCATTCATACATGCACGGAGTTGAAAACAACTCCTTTTAAGATTATCATGTTTTTCATTTCTGAATTAAAATTAATTTTTTTTTTATTCTTTATTATTCTTTTATTTCTACAAAAAAGTATTTTGACATTTTTATTTCTTAGATTTTTTTTAACAACACTTTTATATTAAATATTAATACTTAAGTGTGTCACAATTTAGACCTATTTTAATATTTGAAACCATTTGTCTGCTAAATGATAAAACATATTATTGAACAAAAAAAGTGGTAAAAACAAGAAATAATTTCATAGTTATATGATTTATTTGCGTCAAAGTCAATACGTTTAAAAAAAAAAGAGAGAAATGTGACCTTTTATGAGAAGATAGGTTACAGTTGTTTAGGTTGTAAAATGTCATGTGGTTCTACTCCCATATATATATATATATATATGATACTATTCTAGTCATTGAAATAATGTTTATAACTGGTTGTGAGAAACCAGGTTTAACAAGTTTTATATCTGGATCTTGTATTATTAAGTTAAACAAAATTCGGACAGGGGAGTAGATGAAGACAGCTTGAGTATATTGAAGCTTCACAGAGGTAAGTGGGTCTCCATTGCTGAGTTAAGGGGAGGACAGGGGAGAGGTGATGGTGAGAAAAACTACAGAATGGATCCTAATGAGCTGCTTATAATCCGCCTAAATCTCTGTGAAGATTCCACAAATGTCAGGCCTGGATTGAAGGCGAAAGGAAGACAGGGATTTGAGCGGCGAGATAAGAGGGGTAATCTTCCACATCCACACCTCCCTCCTCAGAGAGAGACAAGGGGGTGATGGAGAGGTGGCCCGAGGGCAGATGAAAGCGCTCCTCGACCTCAAGTGTGTTCTGACTGCTTATGAAACATAGTCCATGTATTCTAGTCTGTTTAGTCACTATACAGTCATATCATACTATGCATTGAGAGAATATTTTAGTTGGCCTATATGTGGAAGTGCAATGAACCGTTTTAATTAATATATATTAATAATTCTATTTATATACTAATAATAATACCAATTAAGTCAACCAAATAAATTATATAAATTAAAATAGCCTATTCCCACATACATTGTTTTTTTTTTAACCTTAATTTAGTGCCTTATTATCAACAAAACAACCTTTTGCTAACGATATTCGTGAATATACACAGTTTTAAGCGAGAACACATTCACAGAAAAACTACTTTGTACATTGTAGCACGCTTCTTCTTTCTTCTGTGAGCCCGGGTGGGTTTAAAGGTTTTGATGGACAGTGAAGTAGAAACCCCACCCCCGCGCGTCCGCTGGATAACGCGGTGTCCCGGAGTGGATCATCCAGCACAGGAGATTCACTTCAAACTCATATTACTGTTAGTGTTATTCTTGTCACATCAAAGCAAACACACACGCTTGCATAGCTGTTACATTTATATGAATCTCAATAGTGTGTCTCTGGATAGGATTACTACTTTATAACGCATTTATGCGTGCAGGATTTTAAGACCAACAACCTGTGTTTGATATTGCAATAATAAACAGTACAGGTAGCTTCAAAATATTGGGTTGGATGAGTTCTTAGCATGCTGGTTTAATGCATAATGCTCGTATTTTATATAGATATATTGCCTTTTCCACGCATTACAATTAAATGATGCAAGTCGCATGTAACCGCACTGGTGTGGAATGTGTTTGGCGTAATCCGTTCCGGGTTTTCCCTCGGCTCTAACTGGATGATTTGTGTGGATACGGAGCACACGGGGCTGATAGAGGAGAGAGACGGGCATGGATCCGTAGCTGCTGTGGCTGTCTGTCTCGTTTCTCGGGACTCTCGTTTTGCGAGCTTCGGGTCGTGCAGGTTACGTTTGAATGAGAGAAGGAACACACCGCGACGGGAAACAAAGGCGCGACCGGTCCTGTGTTAAGAGTGCAAGCTGGCTGCGCGGCGGGGGATGCACGGCCACAATAGGGAAGACCACACTCTTCTGCTTTAGGAGGACAGTGTTGCAATAACATTTCCCCCCTGACAGACAAGCCTCGCAGCGGGAAGCAGGAATTTGAAGCCGGACTTTACTTTTTTGTGAACATGATGACGGGCTTTGCATTGGACGTTTAGGTGACTTGACGGGGATCCATTTCTTGAAAGCGCAAGTAACGTTAGGCAGAACGCACCGGCACAGCAAAGGGACGTTTATTTTGATTTTGTGCACACCACAGCGATTTTGTAAGAAGCAACTTCAACAGAAAGCTAAAAATATTATTGTTGTTGTTGTTTTTTGTTATTATTATGTGCTCTGGGAATCGCCAGCTGTGGGTGAAGTCACACTAGAAACGCTGTTTGACGTTAATTCATTTATTTGGATTTGGTTTCTGAAGAATGTACTTACTTGATTCTAATTACCCGGAAAGGATGGAGCGGGGTACGCCACAAAGAAAAACCGTGTACCGGATATCTTTGACATTAGTGAAGAAGGAAAACCTGCAGGATGGCGGAGGGTCGGCGCACCGGCGGCTGGAGAACCCTAAAGTGAGCGCGTACCGGCGGGAGGGGGTCTCTGAGCCTCAGCGGAGCTCTGCTCTGGAAGAACTCAAAGAAGTGGAGGACGAGACGGACGAATTTTCTTCGCACTCATACATGAGGAACTTCAGGACCTTTAGTACTGGACATCTTGAGTTGGGTAGGTTGAAAATCTCAAGGAGGGCGCAGCATTTACATAAAGACAGAGAATTAAATGAAACGTGCATCGTGCCAGAGAATGGACAGAGGAAAGAAAACGGGGCACCAGTGCAGAAAAGGGCAGAAAGTGACAGATTGAAAGGTGATGCAGAGCATGGAGAAATTTCCAGCACTACTGCTGCTAATGGAGAAAACGCAGGCATTAGAAAGAAAGTCCTCAAGACCTCCCGGAGCACAGAGGAGACGGTCAGTACGTGGTCAGATGAGACGTCTGGGGAGGCGAAGGGTGTCAGGACGGCCAAGGAGAGCTGCATCTCCTCGTTGCTGGCTAAAGGGAATGGGAAGTCACCCAAGCCTGCGCCTCAAACCCCTCCGCCGAAGAAGCACCCGAGCCTGCTGCGGAGGAGTTTCAGCTTTCGCCACTGGACTGGTGGAGAGTTGATCCGCATACGGGCACTCTCCAAAGAGAAGCACCACAGCAGCTCGGGCTGCATCGTCCGTAACGGAGAGGAGAGTCAGGCCCGATCCGCCGTGGTTCTGCAAAACATGACGTTCGAAGAGTCAGAGTCCTCCGAGAAGCGAAACACTTTGGATGTGGGTGAGGTTCTGAGCAAAACCGACTCTACGATGGAGCCGGGCCGCAGGGAGAGGATGAAGGGCAAGAATCGGACATTGGACAACAGCGATCTTCTCAAGATGTCGGATAAATCTTTGGTGGACAAGGAGGGATTTATTAGAGGGACGGGCTCCCGTTCAAGCGGGCAGGAACGTAAACTTATTCGATTTTTCAGCGGTATCTTCTCAAAGCGAGATGGGACGTCCACGCCGCTTGGCAGCCCGGGTAATCGAGCTCTCCGGAAGAACGGCCTGCTGGGAACTCAGCGCAGATCTGAAATGGGCTACTCGCAGTCCAGCAGTGAGAGTGTTAATGGATGCCAACCGGACGGTAATAGCTGTTTTTCTTCTCTCTGCTATTTTTTTTTTCTACTTCACATGTTATTAGGCAGGAGGATGCTCTGTTTGCTTTTTGTGGTCCTAGGACAGGCTAGAGGGATGCATGTTTGTTTTGGCCAGGAAGGTGATGTTTAGCTGGCACTTTGCAGGCCGCCTGTGTTTGTGTTTCATTATGCTGCATGCTTGCAGCTTACTCTGAGATGTGAGTGTTTACATTCTTGAACCGTGAATGTAAAAAAAAAAGCTCATTTAGTGCTGTATCGGTTCTGTTAGCCTGCTCGGTTCATTGGCAATGCACAATGTCATAGTGACTGTTTCTCCCATTTGTCTTTTCTTTTTGATGGCTTGAGTTAATGTAAGGGGATTGCACTATTCACATTTACACTTTCTTTTCTGTTGTTCTGAAGGCATTATCTCACTCTCAGTGTTACTGGAGATACTGTAGTTGGCCACCACCCTCCTGTCACTAATATGGTAATGTAGAGCTGCTGGTAGATTCTGTTCCATAGAGATTTTAATGAATTACCACCATCTAATGTCTGTGAGGTGAACAGATCCTATTGAAAGACAGATTGTCACTTTCTGTAAAACAGGCCTTTTGGTTGAGAGGTTTCGATCTTTTCACCCCTTAACATGATGATCCCCTTGCAATGGATTGGACCCCCTTCCTAAAATATAATTGCAGCGATGTAATTAAATGATAAAGACCGAATTATGAAGTTGTTAACAGTTACACTATGAAGAAACATTTCCCCCAAAAATGAAATAATTGGCTATAGAACATAATTGTTTGGTATTGACTTTGTTTTTTAGAATAATGTTAGATAATCCTTAAAAATAATCATAATCACATATTTCTTACCTTTTAAAAACTAGAGTTGTCTGTAGAATATACAATTTTCATGAATTTAAGTAATTTTAAACAAATGTAATTGAAATCTTAAAGGGTTAGTTCACCCAAAAATGAAAATTAAGTCATTAATTACTCACCCCCATGCTGTACCAACCCTGTAAGACCTTCGTTCGTCTTCGGGAACACAAATGAAGATATTTTTGATTAACGAGACTTCCTTAGATTTCCACGACGCATGCGCGAGAATTGCGATCTGCTTACACCACTTCAGATCGCAATTCTCGCGCATGCGTCGTGGAAATCTAAGGAAATCTCGTTTCTGGCCTACAAGGAAGAAAAGAAATAGTCGAATAAACTCGTTATTTTTGTTTGTTTTTTCGCACAAAAAGTATTCGCGTCGCTTGATAAACATATAGTTGAGCCACGGTAGTCACTTGGGATATTTAAACATTTTCTTCATTGACTTTCTGGGCCGTCAAGAGGCAGTCCCTTAGGAGCCAATGTGGTAGTTATACAGCTCTCAAATTTAATCAAAAATATCTTCATTTGTGTTCCGAAGACGAATGAAGGTCTTACGGGGTTGGTACAGCATGGGGGTGAGTAATTAATGACTTAATTTTCATTTTTGGGTGAACTAACCCTTTAAGATTGTTAACCCCAAAAATTTGAATTTAATAATGAATAATGAATGGTCAAACTTACTGTAGACAGGATATTAAACCCAAAAGGAAAAGGGTTGGGACAGTTCTTCTCTGTTTGTAAAGTATTACATTTTGAAATATGTTAGATGACGCTGGTGCAGCAGCAGGTATGAATTAAATAGGAAATATTTATACATTTGTGTCAGATAGGGAGTTATTTCAGGACAGTGTTAATGACCAGGTCAGCGCTAATGCCTGTAACACGGCATGTAGTAAAACCTTTAGTATCTGTGGGGTGAGAGAGCACCTTAGCTGATTAACCATTTCCACATTCCTCACATTCCAGAGGCAATTCCGGACTCTTCAGAAGAAATACATTCTTGCTAATTGATTATAATCTTACATTAGAACAGTGTCATGGTTTCTTTTAAATGAGCACCTTTACCTAGAACTGTTCAATGATGCACCAATCCATCAATTGTTGTTGGTAATATTTGTCTTAAGCAGGTAATTCAGGGTTGATATTTTAAATGGCTTCATACAAAATGTATACATATGGAGCAGGGAATGGTGATGAATAATTACCATTTCAGTATGTTCTCAGAACCCTATGAATACCAACACTAATTAATTAATTATAATGAGTGGCCAGAATATTCTTTGAAGTTCTGTCTTCGAGAATCCAGATCAAATCTTTTATTTTCCACATTTGGAATAACTCAAGGTAACTAAGTAATGACAGTTATTACATTTGTGGGTGTTTCTGAGGGCTTATTAGCAATGTATGTTAATTGAAATAAATAATTGAAATAATTCCTGTTATTAGTTGGAACAAAAATCAAAGTCAAAATTTTGGATTGATTGCATTTGTAGAATGGTTTTCATTTTTGCTTTTGCTGCAAAACTATGTGTGACGCATTAGAACACACCTGCCTCCTTTGAGGTTTATTTTTAGTCAGTTGCTTGTTTCATGACTCAGCCTGTTTGGACGTAGCTCTGACGTTTCCTCGCCATGCAAGTGCAACCTTGGAGTCATTTGTTAATTTCAGTTCAGTTAGCATTGCTGTGGAGCTTGCAGCCGGATTGGGTATGACTTTCATTCATTTGGCTTTGGTGAGCAGGATGTGGGATGGCACTGCAATGTCAGCGTTATATAGTCCTGCAGGGGATATTCGCAGATGGGTCCTACATATGGATAAATTTATAGGCGACTGTTGCCCTCATACAACACTTACTGTCCTATGGCTTGATGTACAGCATTCAATCATTCATAATAAGAGCAGAAATGCGCATTAATAAAGTAAAAAAGGGCAGTTTTGTTTTTTATTGCAACGTTAAAGTCCCCCTGTAGTCAATAATTGTATTAATTAAAGTCCCCCTGTAGTCAATAATTGTATTCCTTTACTCATCTTTGATGACCAAAATGACATTTAAATTTTTTGATTGGAAAAAATGCTTCATTCCTAAAAATAACTTGAATGTAACTCTACACCGTGCCTCATTTATTATACACGTTGAGTATGCAAATTAGCCCGCCTCCACTCACTCACACCAACCCAGAGAACCACTCGATGTGATTTAGTTGCATAGTAGTTTGTGACGTTAGGAAACCAGTGATTTCAAACGGAGATGAATCAGGCAGATTCGCTGAGGAAATACTCAGCAATGGTGTTGACTTATGAATTTGCACATGGTTAGTAAAGTCATTAAAAACCACATAAATTAGGCGTAAAAAAAATGTGTTTGTTTCCGGTTTCCGACCGACCCTGTCAATTTATGTGCGACCCAAAATTATTTTATGAGCTTGGGGAAGAAATAATAAAAATTAAATAAATACACAAATAAAAAACTTTGAGGCGAACTATAAATTTACGTTTTTGTACAGCTCCGTCTTTTTATAGCACTCGATGCAAGGTGCATCTTGTCCTCCAGCAATCTATTAACAAACGAGGCAGATATCGTTCGTCAAACTATAGCCTAATGCATATTATACAAGTCCTTTTTGTAATTTAGGATACTTTTATTCATATTCGCACACATACAAATACATGCATTCATAGGCATGCACACACCACATACTAATACCTCTATCCGCCTAGTTTTATTAAAAATCATTCCAAAAATTCCAATCATGATCCCAATCCCATCTTCTGCTGTCTATCACTTCTTTCGCCATGTAGGCTATTTGTTCGTTTCTTTTATTATTTTATGCAATCCAAAACACTCTAACCTGCCGCGGTTCGTATCTCTAGAGCCCGTCTAACTTGTCCGCTTGTCCGGGACAAATGGATTTTTGAAGGACAAGTAAAAGAAAATTTTACTCGCCCCAACGGACAAGTAGCCTGATTAGAACATCAATAACAAACAAAAAAATAACTAGGGAATCACTAAACCGAGAGAATGATTCTGATTTTATTACATTTATTGCAAGTTGCGATCGATTGTGGATAATAAATGTAGGCCTACTGTATTACTGATGGTTGCGCTGTTGACGCTCGCGCAGAGAAATCTACACACATGAGCGGAGCGCGCACACACACAGTTAACAACGTACCGCCTATAAAAAATCTAAATGTGGAGTTTATATTTTTTAACATATGTTAAGCACTAAGCAGCCTCAATTATTTTTCCTGAATAACATCACGATTGAAAAAGTGACATTGATTACCTACAACAGTTAAAAAAAAAACAGTTAAGATTAAGTCACTTACTTTTTATAAGCAATATTGGGTGTTTTTGTTCCATTTCAGCAGCGAAAATAGTTCCAAAGAAAAGTCACAGCAGAACTACGACACATCTCACAGGAACTCATCCTGTTTTCATTACTGAATGATTCAGCATTTTGAACGAATCAGTTGAGTCAAAGATTCAATGACCCATTCATAAACATCAACATCTGTCTCATTCTTGAATGAATCAACCGTTTGAACGAATCGTTTGAATTAATGCATCAATAACTCACTCATTTATACGGCCGCCTGCCGCCACCTATTGGCAGTTTAGTGTTATGTTTATAAGTAGCCTAGTATAATTCTTTCCAATATTTCTTATTTGCACATTTAAATCAGTTTCATAACATTATTTTATGAAATTGTAATTTTTCAGTGTAAATGATTTAATTTGATCAGCCCTACCTAGGGTAACAGTATGCCTCAGCTTTCATTTTAAATTCCTAAATTTGATCAATAAATTCAATTATTTAGAATAATAAGACACTATAGGGCATTTAATAATATCAGGGGAGGGGATGCCCTTAAAGGTGCAGATATTACAATATGCCTTTTTAAATATCAAAGCTGATTGAACACTGATGAGAATATTGCTTCAGAATAAAAAATAAATAAATTTAAAAAATCCGGACAAGCAACTTTTTTACTCAGACAAGTGATTGACAGATTTACTTACTTGTCTGGAGGACAAGCACGTGAAAAGGCTTGAGGGGATAGTTCACTTTGATATTTTTATGTTTGACCAAAAAATATCAAAATTGAAAATGCT